ACTGGGTTGTATCAGTGATGATGACAAAATGTGATAGAGATGAAATGTGATATAAGTGAAACATGATATAGGTGAAATGCAATTGATATGAAACACTGATGTAGATGAAACACATCAATGATGAGATCAGTTGTACAGTTACAGGGTCAACAACAAATAGTTAGGAAAAGAAAAAAGAACCCCCCTCTGACACTATAACAATGGAGGCTTCCATTGGTTTTGTGATACATGTTATACCCAAAAAGGAAGATATGTTATGGTACCATGGCATACCATTCATATCTTTAGGACAAAACTAAAGTACAGTAGCACAAGAAGTGTGCTTGAAATAGAGGTGGGCCTAGGTGATATACAGCACACCTAGATACATATCTAGTTAGATCTAGATCATCTTAGCACTGAGATAAGATAGACACTTTGAAATTCTATGACAATATTAAAGGAGAACACATAGATCATCAAGAGAGAGTCATGATAGATAAGATTGGCCTAATCACACATATATATGGGCACATTCAATCCCCTCAAGTTGCAATATAAGAGTGAAAAGCTTTAATGAAAACCTGATCTGCCAGGATCAGGTGGGGCTTATAACCTATTGAAGCTGTATACTCATAAGTGATGCTCAGTCAATAGGGGGATACAATGACTTATATATACCTGTATACTTGTAAGCAACACTGTGTAGCTAGTCAATAACCAATATACAGGTGTGTAGGTAAAGTAGACAACATACCTCAGTCAATGGGGGAATACAATGACTGAGGGGAGAGGAAAATGAACCAGAACTATATGTACAGATGAACACGTGAGATCGTATCGTTTGTGTCAAACATCCAGAGTGATGCGTAACCTCGGCACCATACACGCAATGGCCTAGCCGAGAATGAGCAGAGGGTACACGCGCGCATGGTGGATGGAACATGAATGCGAAGGTGCGACAAGAGTACAATAGACACGGAGCTTGCAGACGAGTAGTGTTCACGAGAGGTGGACGGGCAGGCGACATGCAGGCAAGCGACGACGACGAGAGGTTAAGACGACTCGTGGGCAGAGTTAGGCAGATGTCGGACATCAGCAAAATGCGAGAATGAATATATACCCTAACAGGTATCTCATAACGTAAGGCAACGTACAGATATAGATAGATATACTCAGATAGGCTTGGGACATGGACTGATCTTAGACCATATGTATCTTATCTGAGCATGTCTATTGTCTATTCATGTCCAGAGTTGCCAGTCGCCACCAGCGCGGATCATCGTTCTCCCATTTTGACGATGTGGGGAGTGAGACGGTGGACGCAACCGATAGACAATGGCGGAGGCGGGGAGAACGAGCGTCCGATAAACAGACGACTCGCTGGCACGAAAAAATGTCTAGAGAGCAAATAGTATGGAACCTAGGCTCGTACCCAGTCATTCTGACTTTTGAACTCCGTTGCGAAAGCAGCTCGTTCGTCAGAACGGCTGGGCTAACTTGACCGTAGTCATCTAGTTTAGACCGTGTGAAAACGGACTTTGAGAAATCGAGCGCAACGCTCTTGGGTCGTATTGTCTCCTGCCATTAAAGTTCCTACTGCATTCCATCCATCCATTACAGGAAACCTACAGACCCGGTGCGTACTTTGTGGTCTTTTCCTGCGACGTCTGCTCCTTTAATTGCATTGAACACGATCTCTTCGGTGATCACCCTGTCCATATTCCAGATCGTCTCGTTCGGCGCACATGCAAGAGCCGCCACTCGCCTCAACTCTTCATCGGTCGCGTTTCCAATACCTAGATCAGCCAACGTTGTAGGAAGCCCGACGGAGGCCATTAACGAAATGTAACGGTCCATCTCAGACGTAGGAGCGCTGTCAAGGATGAGCTGACAGATTGTGCTAAAGGCGACTGGTACACATTTTAGTTGATGAGGCGAGTGTATTCGAAGGGGCGGTCCTGACCTTTCTCCCCATGCATCTTAGCATGCAATGTATGGTTGTCAATGGCGGTTAAACCATTGTGGATCTACAGGTAGGCATCAGTAAGATATCCAGCAGGCCCAACACGGTTAATCCTCATCCTCACAGCATGTGCGGCGGCGAGACCACCAGACTCAAAGCCCAGGCCAGAGAGAAGGGTATTCGCCTCTACGACGGCTTCAAACGCTGGAGTGACGGCCTTGGCTCTATTAGCCTCCACTGCCTGCCGGCCGTACTTGAATAGGATCTCCTCGCACTTCGCACCGATTGCTACAGCAGCCTCAGTCGGGAGCCCACCCCCAAAGTTCGGGCTGTTACGGGCGGCCTTAGCTTCGAGGTTTGTCGCAAGCGCATCGCCGATGCCTGATGCGAGGAAGCGTGAGGGTGCCTGGACAACGATACTTGTGTCGACAAGGACAATGGAGGGATTGTTTGAGTAAAATCTGTAGTTCTCAAATTTCCCGTTCGGCTGGTAAAGGACGGAGCCGGCAGAGCAAGGTGCGTCGGTCGATGCGGTCGTCGGCAACACGGCGACCTTCAGCCCTAGGTCATCTGCAATGGCCTTAGCGCTGTCGATGGTCTTGCCGCCACCAAGCGCGATAATGAAATCAACTAACTTATCCTTTCCGAGCGCTCCGAGGCGCACGATCTCGTCCTTCGATGCCTCGCCGCCGAAAATGCCTCGAGTCACCTTGAATTTTGCTACTTCGAGCGCGGCCATGAGCCCCTCACCAGCTGTCGCGGAATACTATGAGTGCACGCGAAACTAGCCCGCAATCAAGAACGCACCAATCCCGTAGACAAAGTCATCGCAAAGTAGCAGCGGTGCAACTCCAAAGGATGATAGGTACTTTGGTGCATTATGAATCGCGGATGGACCCTGAATGTACTTAGAGGGCGACTGGAAGAGCTTCTCAGTGACGCGATTTGGGTTGGGCATGTCGTACTCGTTATGGGGATTCGCAAGTGAGTGGTGGGATGCAACACAGGGTAGGCAAGATATATGATACGGCCTTTAAAACGAGCTTTCTGGAGCGGCTACTTTGATATTCGATTTGTAAGGCCACTTATGGAAGAAGCATAGATGCCTCGGGTTTGTTTGTTTGCCTCGGGCAGTGGCCGATGCAGAGGCACAGTATCTAGCGTGTATCGTTAACACTGCTGGCTGGAGGTACATTGTACTGCGGACCCTTCCACTCAATTTCGCTTCACAACACGTACTCTCCAGTATGAAGTCTGGATTATTTGAGTCAGTCAAAGTGTCCCCAGCTCGCCTTGCGATAAAAGATAGACTTACGGGAGAAGAATGGCTCTCAGACATCCTGCAACCCACCCTACTCAATGCTCAGAATTTGCAGGTTCCCACCAAGACGTGGCAAGGTAGAATAACCAACCCCGCAGGAGTAAGCTCACAGTAACACTGGAACCCGACATCACTAGAAAAATGAGACAGTCCGCACAAGAGTAATCCTGACGGACAGTGGTACTCTGGACGATCAAACGATCAGCCACTGCTGCTTCATTTGAGCAAGAAAAATATAGAACGAATGCAGAATAACTCAGCACTAACAAACAAATTATACGCTATCAGTTTTGAGGGGAGTCAGAATAGGGCATCGGGAAAGACAGTAGCGAAAACAAGCAGTGTACACACGCACAAAGAATAAACAAAAGAACTACGAGAGGATTGCCGTCATCGCCATCCCCGTCCTGGGCCCGGCTCCCGACTGCTTCTCCACCTTTCCCAGTCTGGTGCCGGCCGATCGCGATCCACAGAGGGTCCACGGGCGATTGCAGGCCGCAGAATAAGACGCGGCGGGGGCGGCGGTACATACTGACTGCTTGCCGCCCGCAGCGCCCGTGGGCCGATTGGTAACCCTCTATCGGGTAGGGATCGATCCCGCAACGAAGTATGTGGTGGCGGTGGGCGCAGCGCGAACGGTGGGTAGTTGGACGGCAGGCGAGACGGGCGGTCAGAGAACGATCTAGGATGCGTTGGTGGCGGTGCGCACCAGCGCGAGGAGAGGTGGCGCGCAGGCGGAGACGGTTGAAGGGGCGGGGAGAGTATCTCGCCGTCTTCTTGCGAGGCTTGTTGTCGCGGCTCTTGCGATGATGACGTAGAAGTGCGGTCGTGCGACGGTGATCGAGAGTGCCTGAAGCTGGATGAACGGCGGCGTGCTGGATCGGAAAGCCCTGTTGCTCTGAGTTGAGGCTCAGGTGTCCCGCTACGCCTCGTGAAAGGTTCCATGCGTTTAGAACTAGAGAAAGCTGGTTCGTTCGCCTCAATGGACTTGATAGACTCTGATACTTGAGGGATATCTGATGGCAAAACTTGTACTTCGACCATTTCAATCTTAGCTTGTAGTGAATCCGAAGCAGACAGATTTCCATCCAGTTCGAGACGTCGCTCCTCCACAGTTGGAGATCGATCAGGCGCTGCTCGAGCAGAGCCGGGTTGATCTGAAGGCGGAATGGACTCGATCGCTGGTACGTAATCTGGCATGGAATGTAAATTTGGATGAAGAGGCTCATTAGTGATCTCCGGCGACAGCGACACTCCATCGAGCGAAAGCGAGATAGCAGGCGGCGATGTCTGTGCCTTCATCAGCTCTTCCTCCTTCTTCTTCTTTTTCCGCATTGCGAAGTCTTTGAGAGACATCTTGACTTTAGAAGGCGGAGGTGGAGGCGGAGGCAGAGGAAGGAATGGAGTCTGGTCTGACTCGGGCAAACGTTCAGTAGATGGGGCGTTATTCGGTGTTTTCAGGCTCTGGTCTAAAATTGGCACTTCGTGCTGCTGGGAAGGTTTGTCATCGCGCATAGTCAAACTACCAACGCTGGATGCATGGACGTGAGTGAAGGCGATACCATCAATAAGCTGGTCAGCGTGATTCTCTGATATCAACCCAGAAGAGTCCGGGGTGGCGGAAATGGATAGTGGTCCAGGTGCAGGCTCTTGCACATCATGAACTACGGGAGTGGGTGAGATACGGCGTGATTCAACGGCAGGAAGTTCCGAGCTTGGCTCCGAATCCCTCATCTCCTTGTGGGCATTCGGTTGAGTCACTAAAGATACAGGAGACGGGTTGCGGGGTACGGACGGAGACACTGATCGACGACGTGCAAAATAGGTTGAAGGATTCGAAAGGGCAGGCGAAAGGAGCGTTAAGTTAGCGAAAGGAATCGAAGGAGACATCGACGCATCAGACGCGCCATTGCCAGGTAGATGCAGAGAGAGTGGTGCTGAGGCGGGATTACTACGTGAACTGGGCAAAGGAGGTGGGGGCATCTCCTTGGGATCTGATGCACAGTAGTTGAATTAGTACACTAGACGATAAGCAAAGAAATCCAATGGCATACCGAACGTGGACCGATCAATGTCCATGCCATCCTTGCCCTGGTCAGTATCAATGCGGTCACTTGGCCTCTCATCGGAAAACACAACCGCTGATGGGGGAGTCGTCTCGCGTCGATAATTGTCCCGCAGCGTCTCGTAACTCTTATGTATCCAGCGTTTCCGTAGCTTCGGTGGTAATCTTTCTTCAGGGTCATCGACATCCATCGCGGAGCGAGACGCAGAGATATCGATGGATGGTAGATCTTCGTCCGTTACTTTTGCCTTGCCTTTGCGGTCGCTTGTTTGCGTTGGCTGGGAGCGAACTGGGGGTTTGCCCTTCAACGCCGATGTGGAGACAACGCGCCGCATTGACGTCGACCTTGGTCGCTCGCTTACTATCGCGGCGAAAGATCCTGATGCCTGTGGCTCAGGTTCAGTCGGAAGATGTGCGTGGCGAGCTGAAGGAATCAGCTCAACACCGGTCATGCCCCCAGAGGAAGGCACTCTCTCCTTTACGCGAAAACCGCGCTCGACGCCTACCAAGGGTCCTAGGTCTGTTTTCCGTCTTGCGAGCCCCTCAGACGCACGGTCCCGCTCTTCTGCACACTCTGCATTCTTCCGATGGCTCTCCCCAAAAGGTTCCCATGTATGAGTAGAGGGTGGCGAAGGAGATGGGGTTGGTGGTGTCCCGCTGTCAACAAATTCCGCCATACGTGTTAAGGCGCAGTCCTTCGTTTTCGACCCGCACGCACATGTGGTAAACGTCGAGGAAAGTGCATGCAACATCGACATCAGCTGGTGACGGAAGTGGCGTAGTTGGTGCGGGCTATGAGAACGCGTGCACACTATTAGAACCGAACAAACGGAGAGAAGGAAGGCGGAGACGTATGGCACGTACGGGAACATATGCGGACTATCAATCAGCGCCGGTAGGTGATGCACCACACTCCCGTCATCCCATTCCCAGCCCAGGACGACCTCTTCATGGGCCTTGAGGTCACGAAGGGCGAATATTCCGAATGTAAGCGTGTCGTCATTATCTACACCACCGTCATGGAGGGACTTGGCGGCGGCAGACTTCTTGCGGTGACATAGCACTGGACGAAGCACAGAGTTTGGTCGACACCCATTACGAACGAAGCGGCCAGTGTTCCCCGCAAGTCGCGCGTCGAGAGCAACATCGAGTGGCGGGCCAATAAGATGCACAAATGGTTTCGGTATGCTGAGGTGTGCATATGCATTCAACGGGTCTGAGAGATAAGACGTCGATGGGGTGATGGTAGATGTGTATGGGGTAATGTACCCTGCCGAGGGGATAGCACGAGCGGCGTGAACAGCATACGAAGGCGGCAAGACAGACGGGTCGAAGCTGGCGGAAAACGCTGGTTGCATGGCGGCCTTGTTGAGCGGCTGGAGTTGTATCTGTGATGCTGAGAGTAGTGTGTCTGTGCCCAAGACAGCGGGAGTGGTGCTAGGAGACGCAGACGAGCTCGCATCAGAGTCGATGGCCATCACGCCTCTCCACTGGGTTGCGACGCGGCGCAGCTTATCGCGGGTTTCGTCGTGAGGGACGATGTCCTTGTCGATGTGCACGTAACTGTGAGTCCATGGCTCGTCGATGTCGACCACCTCGTCCTCCACAGATGGCTGGACGTTGATAGAGAGCCTCCTCTTGCGTTTGTGGGAGCCACTGCCCTCGATGGCAGCAGCACTGGCGCGACGGCCCTTCCTATCGACGCCTGGGCTCACTCGACGCCGTTGTCGCTCGGCTTCGTGTTGAAGAGCAGCCTTCTGACGAGCCTTCTGAACGCGGACGGCGCGTTCTCGGTCGGTATGTCTTGGACTGCAGACCCAACACTGCCACTCCTCGGGGACCTCTGACTCGACGATCCCAAAACAAGCAGCATGGCACCAGCGCGAGCAAGAATCACAGCCGATAGAGAAGCCGTCGTCGTAGGTAAAGCCGCAAATGCAGTTTATAGAGTCTGAGCTAGCGGTAGAGTTTCTTTCTTCTGGCAGATGAGTAGACGAAGACGAAGATTGTTTGCGCTTGAGCGGGACGGTCGAGACAGAGTCAAAGGCGGAAGTGATTCCGAGACCCAGCAGGCCGAGAGCAGCCTCTTCGGTCGCATCGTTGCGCATGATCAGTCCGTAGTGTCGAGACCCGAAAGACGGTTCAGACAAGACCCATGCAACGGTCGTTCAAGTCCAACATACGTTAGTCAGATTGGGGGGCCAAAGCGACGTTAACAAGTCATTTACTAGTATAATCTCTCTCCTCCTGGCCCAAGCTGGTCAGCGCTTGTATAAATAATCGTCAACATCTTGAGCGGCTCCTCCCACAACTTGAAAGACGCAATAGAGATATATACATCAACCACCAGTAGTACCAAATCGCAACCTAGCATGCGCTTGTTTCTAGCCCGAACTTAGACCCAGTTCGATGATACTAGTTTTCATTGACTAATCACCACTCAGTCGCCCTGCATCATCGTTCGAGTCCTTTGCAATGTCTATGGATTGCTCCTGATCTGGCACTGTCAAATAGGTTTGTCAGTATCGGTAATATCCACCTCGATACCGTGACGGCTTCTCCTTCAGCCTCGAGGGCAGGCCTCAAATCCGACACTGGCTCCAGCTACGCTTCAAACGCTTCAGAATGTGATAGACCGTAGACCATAGTCAGATGGAGGATGGTCACATCAGATAAGACGCAGTGGGATGCGGCTCTCGAACAACTCAAAGGGAGAGCGACTGCGGCTGCGTATCATATATATATATATATATGTACAACGTAGAGATAGTACAGCCTGTCTTTCACTATGTATCTCAGCTCCAGCTTCAGGACACTTCTAATGCAGAGCATAGAGGAATCAATGACAATGAAGTAGAGCAGGTGTAGGATGCGGTCATAAACATATTTGTTACTATTACTCTTCTGAAACACAGAGTCAGAACCTTCTATCTCCACAGTTGAAATCACCGACATGAGCAAATGCCAAACACCGCTTCAACCTAATCTGAGGGTGAGTATTACCGAGATTGGCCAGACCCAATCCTGGGATATAACAGCATGGATGCTCGCATCTACGCTGCCCGATGCCTCAAAAGCGGTCTTCGATCTTGTCACAGCTAGGTGGACGAGCTGCGCACGCGGAAGTCAAGCCTTTTCCCTCGCGCATTCCTCCACCTTTCCTCCACCAAATCCCCCTGGTTGATATCCTAATCGTCCTCTCCTTCTATCCACACTATTCTCTGCAGACCTTGCTGCCCTTACCTCTGCCCTATATCTTTCAACGCATTCCTTGACCGGGGTGAAGAGAGGGGCGGTCGAGACAAGTCAGGCATTACTAACAACAAAGAAGCCAGGAAAGAGCTCCAACCTGGGACTGAAAGAAATTACAGCCGCGCAGTGGCCCTCTTCGACGTGTAAGTTCAACCATTGATGCTTGCAAACTTTACTATTTCATGCTCATTATCATCGACAGCTAGGCAAGACGGGTACATGTGTCTATGAGCCTGGAACCTGGGCAGTGAATAGAAAGTCATTAATGATACAATGAAATGGAAAGGAAAGAAAGGAGATGAGAGGAGACGAACCTGAACAACGGGTCCACTAGTCTGGGATCTAAACCCAAGGTCGTTTTATGAAAACACGAGAGGGAGAGATGAACCTATACAGTAGTCCACTAACCAAAGCACCCGTCTGCACCAACAGCCAACTCAGATAAAGGAGCGTGGAGGAAGGACAAGACGTTATAGAAGCAAAAAGCAAGTGGAGAAAGGAACGAGACGTCTTCGCCTCTTCCGCCTCGGCAGAGTCTTTTGGATCAATGTCGCGACGCCTAGGCTGTGGGCTGGTAGAGGACAGCATTGGGGAAGTGAGTCCGGATACGCTGCAAGAGCCAGTAGAAAGGCGACGCGTACGTGACGTCGATAGACTCTGTCTGGCCTGTACCGCCAGTGAGGAGACCTCCAATACGTCCCTCGCCGTCAACGATGATGGCGCCGGAGTCACCTGGGGCGGAGAACGCGCCAGACTTCTGATCGTATGGAAGGATCGCCCACTCTATAGACATCTCCGGACTGCGGTCCGGGAAGTACTCGCGCACGAAGGACTTGATGCCAGTAGCACAGCCAATGGTCAGGCCTGTGGCACAGCTGTTCTTCATTACAACGAGGGACCGTTCGCCGTGAGCATCGAGCATTTGCGGGCAACGTAGCTCGTCTTCCTCGATCACGCCCCGAAGCCGCAAGAGGCGGTCACCCGGGTACTTGAAAGACATGAGGCCCACGGGGCCGGGGGACATGCGCAAGGTAATGTCTGAAATCAAAGTCTCTTCACCTAGACATAGCAGTTAGATTGACTACCTTGGTGACATAGACCAAAATGTACCAAGGTCGATAACATTGCCCTTGAAAGTGTTCCAGTCAATCTTGTCGTGGTCGAGCTCAATGAAAGCCCAATCCTCGGTGTAACGTTCAGCGCCGGTCCCGGCGGCGATGGGAGGGGAGTAAGCGACGTGACCGATGACGCGCTGGCTCTCTTTGCTCCAGTACCTCGTGGTCTCATCGTGGAACTGGTAAAGGGCTTTGATCGTCACCGCATCGTCCTTCAAATAACGCTCAATCTTTGCCCGCTCCCTCATCCCATCGTCATCCTGGAAGTCGTCGTCCTTGAAGTCGTCAAGCCGCCGCTTATTGTAGCCGACCACAGCATTGTGTCTCCAGATCTCGGCCGCGGTGGACTTGAGTAACGTCTGGAATGCCTTGGGGCCGGGGAGAAGGATTTGGCGACGAGGCCCGCAGACATCTGTGCAGTTGTAGAGCTCGTTATTTCCTAGATCGGGGGGGAAAACAACGTGCCGGGCGGAAAGAACGTAGACCTTGTTGCTGTTGCTGCCTTCAGAGATATATAGAGCTCCGGTACCCTCAGTGTATGGCGTGGCTCGGGCAGCGATCCGTAGCCCGAGGGTGGGGGTTAGAGGGTCGCGAACAACAGCGGTGGGGTTTGAGGTAGGGACGGATCGGAGGAGCTGAAGACAAGCAGACCGGGCGAAAATGGATTCCCTAAACTCTACTTCGACGTCGGTGAGCTTGTACGACTGGAGGAGTTTCTGACAATCGACAGCCGCGATGTGAGCGTCCTCGCTGGAGAGAGACTGGGGCATGACCCCGATCCATAGAACGGGAGAACCAGGAGTCTTCCCGACCTCGGCGAAGCGAACAACATCGACACTCGTCCAAGTGACCTGCACGTAATCCAGGCAGCTGCAGACCTTTGGGCCCAGGTCGTCCCAGACGGTTACAATCTCGTGACTGAAGACTGGCTTGACCTCCTTCAGCACAAGGTAAGCCTCGGGGCCAGTAGGCTTCTCCCAGGGCGTGTGTCCAGTACGGTAGACCAACAGAGGGTTGGAGGGCAAGCCTGCATAGTAAAACTTTGCCTCTGACTCGGATACGGAGTACGGGGGCGGAGAGGAGGTTATTGGTGGGGCAATCGGCGAAGCTCTGGTTGGAAAGGAATGTGTCAACGATAGCGGTAGGAAAGATTGGGGATCTAGCGGAGTTGGCGCACCTGACGAGGAGCTCTGGAGGAATGTCTGTCGAAGTCACTGGAAGAAGAGAGGAAAGAACGACAAAATTAGTACGAGGGGATAGTAAAAGCTAAAGGACTGGCTTGAACAGGAATTCGCTTGGTGAAAAACTTGATAGCGAAGAGAGAGGGAGGACAAAGGGGCATTTTATACCTTATCCTCTGGTAGAATGCAGGCGTCGGGACTGTCATTTTGACGAGCATTAGGGGCAATCATGCGGAAGAGGCAAGCATGTTGCCCCTAGAAAGCACCAGGCAAGACCCCGAGGGCCTGATAAGGGGCATCACAGATTAGATTACAAACTCTAAACACCGAACAACGTATGTACATTCGAATTAGAGTAGGTACTTGTCGACTTCTCAAAACCACTTGTTCTCCGAGGGAATGTATCCCGATCGTTTAATGCTAAGACTGGTTCCTGCGCCTCACGCTGCTCTCCCATATGCTGATCTCGACGAGTCGAGACTATTGTCGCCCTCCATCCTCTAGATCCGCTAGCTGAAGCCTGTGGTCACCTGCATGTACACCTGCTCTTCCCTTGTGCTCACTTCCACTTCGCAACAGCCACTAGAGCAGGACTGTAGACTAGTTTCACTCCAAGTATCAACTCACCAGACTGTCATAAAAATTTATTCGTAATTCTAATTCATTACACAGGGTAGCAGTAGAAAATGCGAGACGTAGCGGGAAAAGGAGGAATACAAAGTAAGCTATGAGAGCAGCGAAAATCTGAAACCTCTGACTTCAGGAGCGTCCATCCTCCAGCAGCGACCGTCACAGCATGCGCATAACTAATCTACTGGTTTTTCGCCTTCGCCGCCATCTACAATGAACAGTCAATACCACCATTTAATGGAATGAAAGCGAGTGAACATACGAGGTTAAGAGCAGAGCCGGCTTTGAACCACTCAATCTGACCCTCATTGAAACTGTGTGCCAGAGAAATTTCCTATAAAATCATCTGTCAGCAGCAACCCTACCCCAATACGAATAACCTTGTACATACATCCTTCGAGCCATCTTCGTGCTTCGCGACGAGCGTCAAATTCTTTCCAGGTGCAAACGACTCAAGGCCAAGAATGTCGATCTTATCGCTTGGGCTGATCTTGTCGTAGTCGTCGGGGTTGGCGAATGTGAGAGCGAGCATACCCTGCTTCTTCAAGTTCGTCTCGTGGATACGCGCGAATGATCGGGTGATGACAGCGAGACCACCGAGGAAACGGGGTTCAAGGGCAGCATGTTCACGAGAGGAACCTTCACCGTAGTTGTGATCACCGATAACGACCCATTTGATGCCGTTGTCACGGTAGTACGCAGCGGTCTGTGGAACAGCGCCGTACTCGCCAGTAACCTGGTTCTTGACACTGTTCGCCTCACCATTCTCGGCGTTGATCGCACCAATCAAGCAATTTTCTGGAAGACGATCGTTAGGACAAGTATGAGTAATCTCATGCACACTTACGTGAGATATTCTGGAGATGTCCACGGTACTTCAACCAGGGGCCACCAGCAGAGATGTGATCCGTGGCTATGAAGTAATTCAGTGAAAAGTCTCGTATTCGAGTTGAGTAACTTACTGCACTTGCCCTTCACCTTGATGAGAATGGGGAGGTCAGCCGGGGTCTTGCCATCCCAGGGAGCAAACGGCTTCAACAGTTGGAGACGGTCACTCTTGGGGTCAACTGCCACTTGGACGGAGACGCGATCCTCAGGGGGAGCCTGGAAAGTGTTCTGGCCAGGGTCGTAGCCCTTGGGGGGGAGTTCGTTGCCGGAAGGGTCGGAGAACTGGAACGGCTTGCCGTCGGCACCAGTCAACGTATCGGTGAGGGGGTTAAAGCGGAGGTCGCCAGCGAATGCCATGGCGGTGACAATGTCAGGGGAGGCGACGAAGGCATGGGTTGCAGGGTTTGCGTCGTTACGACCAGTGAAGTTACGGTTGTAAGAAGTGATGATAGAGTTAACCTCGCCTTTCTTCACGTCGCGCCTATCCCATTGACCAATGCAAGGACCGCAAGCATTGGCCAAAATCAGACCGCCAACATCCTCAAAGGCAGAGATTTGACCATCACGCTCAATAGTAGCACGAACCTGCTCCGATCCGGGTGTAACGGTGAACTTGCTCTTCGTCTGGAGACCGTGGGCAGCAGCCTCGCGAGCGATGGAAGCGGAGCGAGACATGTCCTCATACGAAGAGTTCGTGCATGAACCGATCAAAGCGACTTTGAGCTCGGTGGGCCAGCCGTTCTTGACAACCTCATCCTTGAACTTGGAAAGTGGAGTGGCCAAGTCCGGAGTGAAAGGACCGTTGATGTGAGGCTCGAGCTCAGACAGGTTCTACACAACAATGATGAAAAGTCTATTGCAGATACATGGCAAATAAAACTCACAATCTCGATGTGTTGGTCGTATTCGGCATCCTTGTCAGCCTGAAGGTTGTGAGCGAAGCTCTGTGCGTACTTGGCAATGTCCCCACGCTTCGTCGCCTGAAGGTAGTCAACCATACGGTGGTTGAAGGGGAAGAGAGAGGTCGTTGCACCGATTTCAGCACCCATGTTGCAAATAGTAGCCATACCCGTGCAGGAGAGGGATTCAACACCAGGACCCTTATATTCGACGATGGCACCTGTTCCACCCTTGACGGTCAAAATACCAGCAACCTTCAGGATGACATCCTTGGCCGACGTCCAGCCACTAATCTTGCCTGTGAGGTTGACACCGATAACCTTAGGACACTTGAGCTCCCAGGGAATGTCTGCCATGACATCAACTGCGTCTGCACCACCGACACCGCACGCGACCATTCCAAGACCACCAGCGTTGGGAGTGTGCGAATCAGTGCCAATCATGAGACCACCGGGGAAAGCGTAGTTTTCAAGGATGATTTGGTGGATGATACCAGAGCCTGGCTTCCAGAATCCAAGACCATACTGTAGTTAAAACGGTAAATACCACGTTTGTAGCTGTGAGGACGAAGCATGTACCTTAGCAGTAGCCGTAGCCAAAAAATCGTATACCTCCTTGTTCGTGTTCACGGCACGCGCCAGATCCTTCGGGCCACCAATTTGGGCCTCAATCAAGTGGTCACAGTGGACAGTGGTCGGGACTGCGGCAGTGGCCATACCTGCCGACATGAATTGGAGAATAGCCATCTGCGGGGTAATGCATGACGTCAACACGTGTGCTTCGCAGAATTTAAGCGAGTGGAAAACGTAGGGTAGAGGAGCTCAGAAGACGGATGTATGCGCAATGTCGACACCAGAGATGACGGAGAGGCGGAGCAAAACGGGCGCCAAAAGCTTACCTGAGCCGTCGCATCCTGGCATGCTACTCGCTGCAGGGATAGGCGTATCAGCAAGCAAAGTAACCAGACACGTCGAATTGCTCACGTCGGGGCGAAGCTTGAGGTAGCTCTGACCGCGGACGATATCCTGGCCATGAGGGTCGTCGAGATGTCCGTACACGATCTTCTCCGAGAGCGTCAGTGGTCGCTTGAGCCTGTGCATATCATAAGGGGGAGTCGAGTCACCAGTGCCAGGAGACGCACCTGTCGCGCACAACAGCGAGGTTGTTCTCAATACGCTGATAGTTGATATACGCGTTGGGCTCGAGGAGCGACATGGGGACCTTGGTATCAGCGACGGTGGCCATGCCCGCGGCCAGCCGCTGAAGCGACCGCCAGGCATGCGCGGTGCGGGAGGAGAGGTTGAGCATCGTCGCGAGCGTCGACGAGCGACAGCAGACAAACGAGGAGGAGGAAATGAAGACGTATGCCGGCAAACGCCGTGCAGCGCGACGAATTTATGGCTGTTGATTGGTCGACGTCGGACGAAAGCGCCGATTACCTCCGGAGCCCGCACTCCGCTCTTTCGCCGACGCTGTCCGACGAGCCGCTCACACCGCCAGCCTCACCGCTCTCCATCTCCTCGTCGTGCGCTCCAGTTCATGCAGTCGCAAGTGACCTCTCTTCATTCATGATTTCTGAAAAATTTTAAATGCCAACCATTCTTCTTCTTTGGCCCTCAAGTCTGCGTGATAGTATGAGACCCTAAATTTCCCACAACAAGGCAGCCGAGGATAAGTGTAGCTACTTCACATCATTTGCACCGGACAACGCGATCCGGAACCCAGGTCCCACGCGAGACGTACCCGGCCCCGCCAGCCTAGCGCGAGGGCCTCGAGTCAACCGTCGGGCGACGGGCACTACTTATCCGCTGGCGTGCATCTCGCTCGAACCTGCAACAAACCTGCAGTGTGAGTTTCTTTTTACCTTCAATATCGCCATAGAATGTGTGTTGTGTTGTGCGTCTAGCTTGAATATACTGGGAGAAATCTACACTATGTGTCGGTGATGTCGGCGTGCATGTGAGTTCACTGAGCAATTTTGTAATCGTATTCGACTTGATACTGTCGTAACGCGTCTTGCCATTATGCTTCTAGTCTGAGGCGCCCAATGCTTCAGAAATTACATTGGCATACTTAGTTTGTCGCTGATTTGCTGCTGACTAGTGGTGCAAACGCACTCTTAGACGCATGCGCTGCATTTCAAATATGTGGGCAAGCACTACTGTCAGATATGAGCTATCTGCCTCAGTGTCGCTTACTATGCCAAAATTCCTTCAAGTGGGATATCAATCTTGATGCGTCTTGCCGTAGCTAGATCTGGCGGTATAGCGACCTTCCTGCTGATCATTCCAACCAGCAAGACATTTGCAGAGGAAGCTGCCCCTCATCGGAGATCGCAGCTGGCGCCAGCCCTTTCTCTGTCGCCCTGGACTTGTCGGAGGCTGATCATGCCAGTTCCCGATGGAAAATCAAGGTTCGCTACAAGGGGGTAAATAGGCATAGGCTCGCGCTACGACAAGCGCAGAATCACGGGCCACACTCATGAAGTTTCTGCTCACTCGACTTCACGACGAATTTCTCGCAAGCCTCATCAGGGAACATCGATACAGTGCGGAGACATCTACTCCTGTGTCGGCAGGCTGAGTGCATCCATAAGTCACCTGTCTATCAAGCCAGGATCGTCGAATATGAGTATGTGCTCGCATTCAGTGTGTACCCACCCCTTCCGATTTGCAGGAACAGCAAAGCCCATGAACGTTGGGCGCGTAGAAACCCCTGCAGTGTGCTGACTCTGCGCGAATTTGAGGGATGCTATAGTCCGGGAATAGTGTAGGGACTCATTGATTGCTATTACGAGCGATATCAAATCCTCTCGTTTCGATGGCTTGACGAAGGATGCACAGATGGACTGAGTGTGTTCAGTGATATTGTCTTCGTATACTATTATATCGCGTAGCGTTAATCCACGTTTACGTATACTACTGCAGTCCTCAAGGCCCGCCGCATATATGCATGCCCTATCGTTCAGTACACCCTAATAATAATATGTAGGCTTCTCGACAGCTGTTCCCTTTCTTGGCAGCTATGGTGGCGCTCAGAACATAATTTCGAGGCCTGCTTTTGTGGTAGTGTTTTGCCGCGTTGGTTAAACAGTGAGCATAATACGCGGGGCGGAAGCGATATCGTGACACTCAGTCGACCTCAGGTTCATGCTCCAGAGAGGTGCCACATGTGTCCCGATTTGCCTCGTCAGTTCCTACTCCTATCAGGTTCAGCGGCATCGTCCCGTTTTGATTGTTTCCTGGAACCTCTCACGGTTTTCAAGTTTCTCAAGCCTCAGCATCAGCCGACTGGTGCATATGGAGGCGCGACTCGTTGAAAAAGGCACGACTCACGTTATGACATCGCTACGGCCATGATAGAACGCAAGCAGGCGAGTCTATGATTCACTGAACTGAGGAACTCGTAGGCATATTGAAGCAGATATCTTGCGGGATTCCGGCAATATTTGGGCCATTAATGTATGTGGCCTTCAGAGTCAGTGCCAGCCAGAGGACGCGGAGTGTATCATGGGCACCTTTCAGGAAGCTCGGGTCCCCAAAGGCCTTGTGCATACATGGGTTCACTGCTATCGAAGTGAGTGCTTAAGCATCATACCTGTAGAACACTGCCAGCGCGCTCGCTCAACCGCCGTCCTTGATGTCACCGCAGGTAATCTCGTACGGGATGGGCGCGCCGAGATCCGTCTCGTCGGCTACGGTTCCACCAGCCAAGAGTGGATGGGTGCCTTTGCTCTCGACCTTCCGGAACGGCCCCAATCTCGAACCACCCGTATAGGTTCTAGTTTATATGTTGCTGTCTGATGCAGTCTTCACCATCGAAGATTAACACATAAACTGTGAGTAGAGAAGCATTGAATAGACTCCATAACCACCGTGCGTATTCCGCCGAACGATTTGGATAGCGGTCGGTTGTCCTGCTGTTGGATAGCTCGTTGAGCGATCCACCACATCGATTACGCCCAATTTGCCGATAACGGCGACATGCGAATTTTGAGCGAGGATCAGCGTGTTTATGCAGTATCGACGAACAGTCCTACAGAGGCAGCTCGAACCCGGCCTGAAGAATAGGAATTAGTTCACTTGCCCCACACCGATTTTCTAATCCCTGTAATGAAGGGCCGACAACGTCAACGATTCTACGCAGCGTGCTGGAGCAAAAGTACTGCGCACAGAATGTTTTGCTGTGAGCAAGCCGTGCATGCGTTGTTTGCACATTCGAATCCAGTAAGCATCAGTCTCACCGATGCTGCACTCTGCCATCGCGCAGGGGTCATGACGACCCCCGCTTTCCCAAGTAGGGGAAACCCAACCATAAAATTCCGCTACTTTGACGGAAAGAGCGAAGGACACCAGAATAGCGGGTCGTGTTAATCTGCCGGTTCGTTATCGACTGCAAAATATACGGACGCGAAGAGCAGTAATCCAGCCCGGTAGCCGGCATCTGAGAATCTGCTACGAGTAGATTTTAGATTCGCGCGCTCCGTCTACCTGTCACCGCGATCCTGAAGTGAAGCACGCACCAGGTGCGTATATAGTCCGTTGCGCTCCCCCTCCGCTGCTTCTAGTCTCGCCTCTAGCGATCACAGGCGGCCTGGAAGCGACATGACGATCTGCAGGCAGGCCGCTTCTGCGCGGATGCGCACCGTGGACGGTCCCATGGCGTGCCAATCTACATGTTGTCGGGCGGGGCCCACCCGAGGCCCCCACCTCGTGGCGGCGCCGCGCGGCACCGCCTCCACATACGAGTACGCGC